TTGGCCACTTAACAGTCTTTAGAGAAAAAAGTGTGGTTAGATATTTGTTTTGGCCACTTAACAGTCTTTAGAGAAAAAAGTGTGGTTAGATATTTGTTTTGGCCACTTAACAGTCTTTAGAGAAAAAAGTGTGGTTAGATATTTGTTTTGGCCACTTAACAGTCTTTACAGAGAAAAGTGTAGTATATTGCAAGAATATGTCATCAATTAATAAGCGATGACAAGGTTAGCGAGATTTACTTAAGCCTGATTTATGTCATGATACATATAAGGCTCCTAAATGTAAACAAGAAATAATGTAAATAATGTAATAATAATATGAGGTCAAAACTTACAAAATTTGTAAGTTTTGACCTCAGAATCAATAAAAGATTTTTCAATAATATCCTTAGATTTTGCAAAATGTTTTTATCAATGTTAAGTTTTTACAGATATTTTTCTCATTATTAATTAGAGCAATTCAGGGTTATAGTAAGAAAAAACAACGAAATGTTTATCTTATGTGATTTAAATTTCAAGCAAATGAGTAACTTCAGCTTTATTTCATGAACTGTATAATGATAAGCGTTAATATCTAGAAGTACACTTCCAAATTTTGAAATTTAAGCAACATAGCATTTTCGCTACTATGAAATTCCACTGAACGAGTAAAATTAGCCTGAAACTTCTAAGAGCTATCGCTGGGGAAAGAGTTAAGATTCTCAGATCTATCTATATACACAAATTAAAAGAACAAATGTGCGCTTGAAGTTAACGTTCAATACTTTGTTACAATAAAACAATATAGGAAACTACTGGAAACAAAAAATCCTGAGTGAGTGGGCTTGTTTGTTGATTATGCACATAGAGGCCAACTCAAAGATCCCTATAGCGTTCAGGTATATCCGTCTCTAATTTTGATCAACGGACAGGGGGAAGGCAATTAGTCATTAGCACTAGCCGCCTAAAGCGGCTACTCTTAAATGAATAGCCGGATTAACTGACACTCTTATAACACACAGTTGAAAGTATTTAGTAGCAGTACATATCTAACCAGAAACCCTCGAATTCCCAGTTCGATACTCTAACCACTATGCCATGTTTGGTCTTTCACAAAAAGAGGAAAATATGACGATGAAGCCAGCTCTCTGAAAGCATGTGTGAAGTACTAAAACAGAAAGTTTAAAATATAATAAACACATAAGACAAAAGATGAACTGAAATGCAGCTCTAGATATGAACTGGTAACACCAAAGCCGCTTTTCAATAAAACAAAGGTTTTTGTGTATGCGAATACAAACTTCTTAAAAATGTAGAACAAAGTCACAGATGCTCAGATTGTTGATATTCTCACATAATTTAATACAGATATGTCTGAATAGTACTAGAAAAATAAATATGATAAAATATGTGAATAAGAGAGCCTTTTTGTTATTATAATGATTGAAAGTCTAATAATAGTCTCGATTAACAACATTTAGAAAGAAGGTTTGTTTGTAGTTATGTCCTGCCCACCACGGGTATCGAAACCCGGTTTTTAGCGTGGTAAATCCGCAGTCATGCCGCTGTGCCACTGGGGGGGGGGTAGAAGGAAGGACACAAGCAATTGAATCTCTCTCGCTTTTTTTTTGCATACACGCACGCATATATATATATACATAAAGTGATTATACAGTTGTCTCATTTAGAACAGCTTAATACAAATTATAATTAAATTGGTTTTAATTGCCTTCGTAATATTTTCGTTATAATGCACCAACCACATAAGAGCAACGGTACTAGCTTTATTGTACCAAATGTGTAGTAACTTTTGCCGTACTCTGTATTTGTACAATTTAAATTAAGGAAGCAGTCCCAATACAAAGTGGCACAGATAGAGGACAGACAAAGCCAATAATGCACAATAAAATTAGATAAATTTTAAGGAAACTAGAATAACAAAATGGGTATTAATAGTGTTACAAAGATAGCAAAAATTTCGTCAAAGGTTACAATAAAAATGGCTAAGTTTTCAAAAGTCTTCAATCGTAGCATGAAGACGGAAGACATCTGAAATGTCGCCACCTACTATTTATAGCTATGTAAGGCAGTTGGCGCTCATTTTCAATTTTGTTTCATCATGAATACAATATAGATACATTCTTTTTATATAAAAAGTTTATTTGTTACAGTATTTACACTTTTCTGTAAATTATATGAATTAATATAAATGATGAAATTTAATGCACATGAGGTACTAGTACCATGCTGTCTTTAAAGATTTGACTCTTTACAGAGCTAACTTCACGGGGAGGACAGGTCTTTACAGAGCTAACTTCACGGGGAGGACAGGTCTTTACAAAGCTAACTTCACAGGGAGGACAGGTCTTTTTCATTACGGTAATCTATTCTGAATACTTTATCAATTGTTTTTACATCATTTTCTATTTCATTAAGCACAACAGCCTTCTCACAACTGGCTACACTCAATAGATAATAGTTCTGGTGAGGACTGAAGAACCCACATCTGCTCCAGAATATACTTTACATGTGAATAGAAGGTGCATCCGATAGACCGCGTATCCCTAATGTTACATGAGAGCTATGTCTCCTACTATCTTACCCAAAGTGATATTTAGCAGTTTGTGTATTGTTTTTTTTTTATTTAAATGTCTGGCATTTGGCTTGTCTCTCCTTGCTCTTGTATTCTCTTTTGTTACGATATCTTTTCCTTAGATATCAAACTTAACAGTTTTATATCTTTTAATATAAACACATGTGTATTATCTGTATCTATTTGGATAGACGTATATGGTAATAAAGTAAGTATGAGTTTAAAGGAGCTAAGTTGAAACAAACAAACATAAAAACGAAGAATGAAGTATGAAACAAGTTGAAAAACAAAATGTAACTTCAGGTGCACATACGGTTATAAATCAGTATCTTCAGATACATTTTTGGTTATCATTTGGAAAATCAGATCAACGACTCTATCCCAACATATGATGGCATCTTTAAACAAAGTTTTAGAATACACACAGATATATCTTGGAGAGATCATAGATAAGAAATTACATCTCCCAATTCTTCTGAACTATATACTTTTTATCAAACTTGTTACATGAATCGTTTACTAGAGTTTCCAATACATATTGCGAGGGCTTTGTGCTTATATCATATATTATAATAAATATTAGGTACAGTTTCAAACTGTAAGCACTATCTCCGTGTTCCTAAACTGCAAAACTCTCCGTTGGTGGCGCTAGTAGTTACGTCGGCCATCGGTTGTTGGAAGAGCGTCATTGCTTTAAGTCCCATGTCATGTGCGCGGCTAATGTGTTTCGTTGAGGTCGGTTGTTCGACAGCTCACAAAGTTCGGTGTTCGTGATTGTTTAGAAATCTATTTGTATGAAAATCATAAAAGAAATATTTCAAAGGCATGAATAGTTAGTTCGGGAAAAAAGAAACCAGAAAGAAATGGATTTTCCAACACAGTTGTGGACGGTTTTTATGGTTCTTCTTTCTACACAAGGTAAAACTAAATGCTTTCTGTTTTTCTCTTAAGTTATATATATATATATATATGTACGTAAACGCTGAAGTGACAGCGATATCAGTTAATACATTATATATATATAAGAATCCATGGTATTTTAACAAAAATGTGTTTAATGCTTTTTATAAAAATACTTCAAAGAAGTATGTGTTACACATAACGAGTCTTAAGAAACATAACACATGATTAACATTTATCACTAATCATACTTACATTTCTAAAAAACGTGCACTGTACTTCAGTCGAGGTTGGTATATTATCCAATTTTCAAGAACTTGTTAAATAATTGTTTAAATAGCAGTCAAAAGTTAAAATATGGTATTGTACTAATATTTAAAAAAACAGCTTATGAATCTTGGTCAACAATATATTTAAAAGCAATACCAGCTAACTTTTCCTATTGTTAATCCATCTATTGAGGGTTGAGTACGTCATAGTAAAACGATTTTGAATACGTCAATCAGCAAGTCACGTAACAACCACAGCCAATATAAATTACAGTGGTAAAGAATGTATCAAAACTATATTTTGACATTGTTTTGTGTTTCGTGGGTAGTGTGATGCCATCGAAAATTAATCGCTTTTCGGAAGGGTATATAACAATTCTTTCTGAGGCAAAATATTAATACATTCAGAGGAAGTCCATTATACTTGATGTAATTGAAAAATGGAATAGATCAACTTGGGGTACCCAAACCATCCAAAACAAGACCTTCTGCAAGTCGTACCATTGTCGTAGTAAATATAGTGCGGCGTCTTATACAAGTTGCTTTTACGATACATAACTTTAACCATTACACACCTCAAGCACTTGGAGAATCAATTAGTATTCATGGTATTTCGTACGAAGACATACCGGTCAAAGCATCAGATTCAGTGCCTGTGGCTTTCCTTAAAATCGGATTTTGAAATGGGTCCTGGGAAACCGCTGTATTTGTATACTAGATGGAAAATAGAAAGTCTACAGGGAGGATTGGTATGCTATTGATATGACAGTCTTATGATGGAGCATTTTACAATGTAAACTGAGCTGTAGGACCATTGGCAATATGAATAGTTGTCAGACAGAGCATGACTGGACACGGCAACATGGACTGTAATGATGTGTTGAGACTCCAGAATCGTTTGAATATAACGTACTCACCCTCATTAACAATAACAAATTACCATAAAACCATCATTTATTGATTAAATTCTCATATAAAAGAGTCATCTAATGGTAAGTTTTAATAGGAAGGATTGATATTCTTATATTCTTTATTAATAAGATCCAATAAAGAAACAACGTATTTTTTCAATAGCTTTACATACGATTGGAATTGTATTTTACTACATTTTCGTTCTTTTAAAAAACAAATGATTATGTTGTCTGTTTGAATAAAATCAAAACAGATATTGGATGTTTGGGTTTAAGGATGGGTTATTCTCAAAAACTATACGCGATATAAAAGTTTTAAGCAAAACTTTGCGGTTCAGCTTCCTTGTTGATAAGCGATAGAGATAAGGGGATTGTAGTTTTTAGTTGATATTCTCAGAAGCACTTAATTAAAAAACAATGTCATTACCCTTTCTGTCGTTAATAGTTTGTTTTGTATTCTTAGCTAATATTCATTTGCTAAAACAAATTTCAAAAATATATCAGTGAAAACTATATTTTGAGAAACGGCTTAACTTAGATAAGTCACTTTCGTCATTAGAAATTATAATAAACAACTATATTATTAAACTAGTGAATACAACTCAAATTTTTATCTCGTGCCATACTAATTATTATTTTTTAAATGCTTTAAAACTACATCTTATTATAATTCTTTAGTTTTCCATTAGTAACAAGTTATCAAAATATCTCGATGTCAGAATTTTAATGAAGTTTCAACTTCTGTATTAATAGTTTCATTGGGATACAAAGTAATTATGGTTAGATTTAGACCTGTATATTAACTAGCAGTTATCTGGCAGTCGTAAGACTTGAAACAAATGTGCGCATACTGACGATATCTTTTTTTTTTTTCATACAAACTTGAAATGTTCATATATGTTTAATAACAGTTGTAAACGAATAAACTTACATTATCAGTTAACAATTTTAAATATTTCAAATTAACTGTAACGAGTAATTTTATATAAAAAATTGATGTTTTGATGGTGCAATCTGAATGTACTTTAGGTTTTTAATAAAATAGAGCAATATATATATTTCTAAGTGAATAAGTAAAAAAGCTTTTATGTTAAATAAATAACTGAAATATTTTACCAAACAATAATCCCCTTTTAATTTCATTGGCTTAGAATTGTATGAAACAGAAATATTGTTAATACACGAAAATGTAAGTATAATACTTTCCCAAATTAGTTTATTTTGGGATATATGTGTAGTTATTCGAGAACTTAATGAATTATTCAATATTCACCGAAAACAACTTCCTCATCTTTCTTTCTATGATTTCAAACACTAGTAAACCAGAACCGACATTTCTATCAAATTTTGATGTGCTAGTTTTTTAACCCAAAATCAGCGCTTTTTTTACATTTTGAATAAAAAAATATGTTTGCTTGGAGATAAGGAAATACTAAGCTAATTTGTTTTTTACTTGGACATATTGTTTAAAACTTAATGTGTCAAAAGTTTGAAGAAAGACCTAATATTTGTCAAAAATTGAAATATAATCACATTACGTTTGTACTATTTGGTTATTTTTCTATATCTCTACTATTTGGGTAAAAAGTTCAACCTTAAGCCCAAATAAGTTTCAAACCCGTTGAGCAAACCCACTAAAGAAAAATGTGAGCTGACTGTTTTATCGGCAAGGCGTGGGCCTCTATTAGAATAGGAAAGGCTTTACAGTTGAATTTCTGTGCGATGTAATAACAACAGATAAACACTGCGGATCTGCAAGATAGGGATAAAACATATAAAGGTACACTACAAATGAAAAAACAAATCTCTGTAAAGATTTAGAATTTTTTTTTTTTTTTGCAATTTTTGCTTATTTCATTATAAAACCAATGTTTTTAAGCTGCACTTGTATTGTCTATTAGCAACTATGAAAGGTAAAGCAGAATAATAGCCCTACACTAGACATAGTTCAAAAAATTAATTCATCACAGCTTAACATCTTAACAAAAAGTTCCCAATGTTTCAATAAAAACTAGTGAATATGTTTTGTTGTTGCGTTGTGCCCACCATAGGAATCGAATCCTCGTTTTTAGCGTTATAAGTCCTCATATGTATTACTGATCCAGCAGGGGGCAAAATTGACGAAATGGTTTCTCTAGTTTTCGGAGCAAAGCTACCATTAATTTTACCAAAACTTTGTAACTTTTGAGTAAAAAAAAACATAGTTTAAAATAGTCAGTGCGGATTTGAATCTAATCTCATTTCAAAATATTTCATAAACACAGAGTAGTACATAGAGATTAATGCGAACTAGTAATGAGTTATCAAAGTTGCCATAGGATGAAATTAGTTTGACAAGTTAATTGTGTAAACGTTATTTTTTGTGCTTATTTTAAAAACTATTAAGCCTTATTAGTCGCCTTAGTTGGTTTATAACATAAATTGATAAACACCTTCCACTGACAAAGCATAGCATGAAATACAAAAATGCAGTTATGATATGTTAAACAATAATAATTCTGAAAGCACTAAGACAAATCTCTGCATAAAATAATATAGGAGTAACCCATTACGCATTTAGTAGCACTTAATTTGACGTATATGCAAGTATTAAACAACGAATTATATCGTTAAACGCGCCAAACATGGCATGGGATTAGGTTTACAATGTTCCTGGCACCGTATCACTACCATCTATCACCAGAATACAGTCATGCAACATTGAAAATGGAAGTTGATTAGATGTATACAAGCATATTTAGCTAGTAACGACTGTATCCACGTGAGACTAACTTGAATTCTATACGCTCTGTACACCATGGTTCAGTACCGCTGGAGATTTAATTGACGCATTGGCTGCCTAAGGTGAAAAGTTAGACAGGGATACGAGAGAAAATATATGTATCAAGTAAACATATCATTTGTGTTGTTATTGAAAATGGTTGCAGTAAAGTGCAATAATGGTGTTAATCAAATTCTTATTTCCAAAAAAATTCGTTCTCAAGCTAATATTTATTTTATCATTTTCTTGTTTCTTTTCGGTGAGGAGAGTTCTGTTGACGGGAATGTTTTTTTTTTAAAATAAATTCTAAGCTTATGTAAAACTAATAATTAATCCTTAGGTAAAATCAAGAACTTTTGTCTGGGAAAGTTGTTGTTAAAAATCGAATTCCACATCCAAACAAAGTGACTCCTTTTTATATATTGGGCTAATATTTCTAAAGCAATGAATTATATGAATGACTGAGGTAAGATTTATCTGGCTTGCAGAGTTTTTTGTGAAAATATTTTATAAAATACTAAATCTTTTGGAGTGTAATTTCATGGCTTTAAACAATAACTGGTTTGTTAAAGGAAATTTGAAGTAAAGGTTGAGAAATAAGAGTGAATTAGGATGTGAATTAAGAATATGTAGTGAAAAACAGAATGGATAAAAAACAAAATATGTGTAGGTTAATTCAAAGCAATAAGCAGAAAAGCAATCACGAAATAATTTTATTGTAAATATAAGATTTGAATAAAAGCCTTTTTAGAAAAAAAAGACAAGTTTTGAATACTTTAAAGTAATTACGTTTCGGCTTAAATTATACTCTTTCTAACAAAAAGTTTTCCTGAATAATGCAACTAAAATCCATATCAATATAAATAGAATAAATTTTGACCATGTTTAGCCACATTTTACTTAATTTTTAAACCTTTCTGCACGACACATTTCTGAGCTCGATATTCTGCTGATCATTAACCATCTTATTTAATCAGTTCGAAACTTTTTGTACTGCCCTGTGATTTCTGATGCTATAAAAAAACGAGCAGTTATTTACGCCATTTCTTAAACAGAAATCATTTATGCTATAACAAA